TAAAGAAAACTATTTTCAGAATATTCAATTGTTTTATTTCAAAACATTTCTACATCAATAGAAAGTGAAAGAGATGCCTTTTTCCTTCAAAAATTTTTCAAATTCAGATGCCTCTAGAAAATCTTTTTCAGAACTGAATTTGAAGAAAGAACTTTCCTCTTTAAAACGATCCCTCAAAACTTGATGCACGAGCTTTTTTCGTAGTTCTATTGAACTTTAGATTTATTGAAAGCAGCAAATCCAAGACTTACTTTGGGAAAGTTAGTAAAATTGATATTAATTGTAATAATTGTTATCGTGGAAGATTTATCATATATATAATAAAATTCTTATTACTAAATATTGTAAAACATTTAAATCTTATTTAAATTTAGATGTTACATTATAGATTTTATTCATTACATAAAGAATTTCTAGCAGCTAATCGTAAGTTTAATTATAAAAATTTAAATTTTAATTGCAATTAACGATTAAAAAATATTTGATTGTTCATCACAATTAACGATTAATTAAAGTAAGATATCAATCATTATTTATGATTAACAATTAAAGTGAATGTAACCGTTCATTGCGATTAAAAATTATTGAAACAATTTAATTGTTAATCGATGATTAATTTTCTGTGCAACTCTGAGTTCCTGCAAATATTTGGAATTGATAAATGATGTCTACGATTTGGTCTACCTTCGGACCCAAAAACATCTGAAGTCGATGGAAAGGGTAACGAAGGAATCTTTTCTCCAATTTTCTATCGGTTTAGAAGTGGAGAAAAATCGTCTGGCATCAGTAAAGGACAGTTCGCTTACCGAGAAGAAATCGTTTGACCTCCGATCGATACAGATCGCCTCTTAAGCATTCTCCGACAGTCGGAGAATAACATTGCGTTTAAGTCGAAGGGACAGTCTTCATAGTCGGTACGCATCACGAAAAAACCATGTAACTATGAGATATGTAAAAAAATACTGTATAAAACGAGATCCTTTCTTTATTTTTTCAGATTAGTAATTTAGTAAGTATTTTATTTCAAATTTCTTCTTAATTATTATAATGTACAAAAATATACATTATATTATATTATACATTATATTATACTGTATAAAACGAGATCCTTTCTTTATTTTTTCGTGAGTTTTTCAGGTTAGTAAATTAGTTAGTATTTTATTTCAAATTTCTTCTTAATTATTATAATGTACAAAAATATACAAAATATATTATTGAAGATATAGATAAGATGATAAATATGAAATATTTTCAAAAATACCTAATACCTAATTTTTTTAATTAACAAATTTCAATATTATTTTTTAATTAACAAATTTCAATATTATTAAAATTATCTTGAATACATGTAACAGATTTTTAAGAATTTTGGTTGATTTTGGTAGATGTTCATGTATTGGATAGTAAATAACAGTACATATAGATGGTAGATTCAGTACACGAATAACACGTATTGATTCTAGTCAAGAAATTCAGAATCACCGAGTTCCTTCTCCTATTAAAAAGACAATCACGTCGTTGATTGTAAATGAAGAATCTGTAGAAATTAAACAAGCTTGAGTTTTCCAAAAGAGATTTTATCGATTAGATTCAATATCTCATCATGATAACATGCACGATTTTTGTATTTATAATAGTGAAGAAAAATTTATTTACGACAAATGTGATTAGTTTGTGTTAAATGTTCCGCGTTTTTCCCCTTCTCTTTTGATTTGACCATAATCATTTCATCAATTCTTTTTTTGTAAAGTACTTTCATATAATTTTACAGAATTTTTCCTCACACA